GGGACTTTCTTTTCGGACCAGAAGATGACCATTGGGAATGTTGAAATGCCAATAGTGATCCTGGGAAACCCCCACAACCTACCCCTTACTCCCATGGTTCATGAAGCTGTACCCTGGCCACCTCGACAGCTGCAAGGAGCGCTTCAACTACAGGCTCAGCAGGACAGTTAAATGTTCCTTTGGCCATTTGAAAGGCTGCTGGCACTGTCTACTCATGAGATTAGACCTCACTGAAAAAAATATCTCAATGGTTATAGGTACCTGCTGTATGCTTCATAGTATCTGTGAAGCAAAAGGGGGAAAGCTTCCGCCACGGTGGAGGGCAGAGGTGGAGCAGCTGTCTGCTGATTTCGAGCAGCCAGATACCAGGGCTATAAGAAGAGCTTGATGAGGAGCTATACAGCTCAGGGAAGCTTTGAAAGACCATTTTAATAGTAAGCCACAGTAATGTGTGTTGCTGTAGTGTGCTCTGCCTGGCTTTTTTTTTTTCTTTTTTTGCCCCCCAGTATGAACCTTGTAATGAGTGTTGTGTGTGTAGTATTATAACATTGTAAATGCGCCTATTGCTATTTTCTGTGAATTATGTCAGCCCCAGCCAGCATATGTTGTGAACTAATAAAAATGAATTAAGTTTCCACAATAGACACCATGTGGAATGTGGGTGGGTGGGGGTAAAAGGAAGTCCCAGAATGTAGTTCTCTATGGGCTGCAGAGGGAGGTGAGCACAGGTCTGTTGAACCTGAAGGTCAACAAGAGTCTCCAGCATGTCTGTTTGCCACTTGAAAATCGCTAGCATCTCCTGCTGCATGTCTCTCTCCTTTTCCTGTGCTTTTCTCCTCTCCCCTCTGTCCTTGTCCATTCTGTCCATAAGGGTGATCCTCCAAGCCCTGTACTCAGTGTCCACCGCACCAGAGGTTTGCAGAATCTCTTAGAATATGTCATCCTGCATCTTCTCCTCCTTATCTGACTGAGCTGCTCCACAGGTGTGGATGGAGAGACCCTCAAGGCCACATTTCCATCTGCAAAAGATACAATGCACAGAGGCACTATTGTGAATATATTCACAAGATAAATGGAAACGTGGTATACTGAACTCACTCCCCTTCATCCACACAAATTGCAAGCACTATATTCTCACTTCTCCTTGGGATTCATAGAGCACAGAGGCTGTCCCAGCAGCCATGGTGGCTGTGGCCTGTGAGGGAGAGAGCGAGTTGGGACAATGAGGGGGACGGGTGTGAGTATATGCAGATAGGGCAATTGAACTGAATACTGGCACCGTTTTCCACTGCCAGTGGTGATTTTAGCTGATATCTCACTCCTGAGATTAATGGAGGCTGAAAGGGAACAGCTCCTGCACATGTCTGGCTGTAGACTGGATCCATATGCTGCTAGCTTGTGTGTTGCAATGATGCCTGCTTAAGTAATTGCTGAGTGGAATGTGAAAGTGTCCTACCACAGCAGAAAAAATAAGGCAGCCCTCCCTAGAAACCTTCAGCAGAGGATTGCAGTGTACCTTCAGAAAAGTTTCCTCAAGATCTCTGAATTCAAGGTGCATCCTGGTGCACATAAACAAACTGTTCTGCAGGACCCCCTCTGCCTAACTCTACAAGGGAATAAGAAGCAGATAGTGTGTCTACCTCTGTTGGTTATTTCACTACCTTTTCTAGCATGATTAATAAAGAGTAAATGAACAGATGTGTCCCTGCAATATCAAAGCAAACTGCAAACTTACCAGAGGTTCCTTTCCAGGCATCAGGCTTCCCCATGCCGGACTGTAGGGACTGGCTTGACTGTTCTAGAGTCAAAAACATGTTCTGGATCGCTGCACCACTGGATCCCCCAGTCGCCTGTCCCCCATACTCCTCCTCTTACTCATCCAACACCTCCTTACTGTTCACTCCAGCGGCCTGTGATTCCAGCCCCCCCGAAGTATGCACGGAGCCCTGGGGGGAGGGGGAGGGTCTCCGCCAAAGATGGCATGCAGCTCTTTGTAAAAGTGGCATGTCTGCAGCTCTGCACCACAGCGACTGTTAGACTCTGTTGTCTTCTGGTACGCCTGCTTCAGCTCCTTGGCTTTCACGTGCAGGGCCGGCTCCAGGCACCAGCCGACCAAGCATGTGCTTGGGGCGGCACCTTGGGGCAGGGCGGTGCTCGATTTTTTATTTATTTATGGGGCTTCGGACGGCGGGGTGCTCGGAGGGGGCGGGGGCTTCGGGCGGTGTGGTGCTCGGGGGGGCGGGGGCTTGGGGGGTGGAGGCTGGCGCGGTGCGGCGCTCGGAGGGGGGCGGGAGCTTCAGGCGGCGCGGCGCTTGGAGGGGTGGGGCTTCGGACGGTGCGGCGCTGCAGGGGCGGGGCTTCGGGTGGCGTGGTGCTGGGGGGGCGGGGATTTCGGCTGTGCTCGCGGGGGGGGTACGGCAGGGCGGCTCTCTTCTTTTTTGCCTGGGGCGGCAAAAAAGTTAGAGCCGGCCCTGTTCACGTGGCACTGCTGCAGGTCCCTCTTGTCGCCCTTCTCCCCATGCCCCAAGCGATCTGCTCGTAGATATAGACGTTTCTATGGCCAAATCGGAGCTGTGTCTGCACAGCCTCTTCTCCCCACAGACCCAGGAGATCCACCACCTCCTGTGTACTCCAGGCAGGTATGTGTCTTCAGTGTGCAGCCAGCATGGTCAGCTGGGCAGTTGCTAGGTGAACTCTCCACGCCGAACAAATAGGAAATGGAATTCCAAAAGTTTGCAGGGCTTTAAAGGGGGGGGAGGGCTGTCTACCTGGCCGCCAGGCAGTGGAGTTCAAAATGGTGACCGGAGGGGTCATGTTAGGGCATTGTGGGAAACCTCCTGGAGGCCACTAAAGTCAATGTAAGTAATGCAGTGTTTACACTCTGACACTGTATCGACCTAACTATGTCAGCCTAAGTGCTACGCCTCTCACAGACGTGGAGTTATTAGGTCGGTATAGTGGGCATGTTACATCAGCGGGAGTGACATTTTAGTGTAGCTGCTTACAGAGTTAGGTCGACATAAGCTGCCTTGCATCAATCTAACTCTGTATCGTAGACCAGGCCTAAGTCAGTGGAGTGGGTGAGTTACATCGGTGAGAGCAGCATTTTAGTGTAGACACTTACAGAATTAGGTCAATATAAGCTGTCTTACCTCGACTTAACTCTGTAATGTAGACCAGGGCTGAGGTAGAGTGATAAAAGCTCCATGCCTATTCAGTCTTTGGTCTCTTTTGCTGATGCTGCTGACAAAAGTGTAATTGTTATGGTGATAGTTTTCATGATGTGGAAATTTGTCCATTGGAATGGACTGAGGCAATTGATTCTTTATTTAAGCCATTAACTGGGCTGGTTTTTTGCTACAGGAATTAACTGTGAAGCACAAAGAGAAATATCTAAAATATTCTTTTCTGTTTGATAATTAATGTCACTATTACATTATTTTATATTGTCATGTTAAAACACAGTACTGTAACTAGTTGGTTAGAATAGAAGAGCATTTGTGAAAAGCAAAGCTAGAAAATACTGGTATTTCTAATGGACTTTTTATAATTTGGATAAAAATCATTTTTATATGGATGCACAGAAGTCAAAAGGACTCTAGTTTTAGACAACTATGGTATTGAAGTTTTAAAATCCTGTGTAGACCTTTGGACAACATTTAACCTCCATAAATGTAGATCAGGGAAGCCAATGTGGGATAAACCTTTTGGTCTTGATTCACTTGTGTGTGTGCAGGGAAGGCAGCTGCATCCCAGGAGAGATTTACCCTTAGTGAAGGAGAGCCTTAATCTCCATCTGGGGTAATAAGACTAAGAGGGATCTTTATTTCTATCTTGTCCTTATTGCAGGTAGTATTTAGCTGCATAATATTTCCTTGGTGCAGGAAAAAATAATCCTTTAAAAGTAGCTAATGTCATAGTAATTAATTTTATGGTTGTTTAGATTTGGTCATCAGACTCCACACAAGATTTTTTTATCTTGTAATGAAATCTGAGAAGTAATCACTGAGACATTTTACTATGTGAACTGAGGCCTCATCTTTTATCCCATTTAACACCTAAAGAAAAGGTTATAGAAACATGCATGATTTTCATACTGTTGAGAACAGTGTTACATACATGAGAAGTGTACCTAGGGTGACCAGACATCCCGATTTTATAGGGACAGTCCCGATATTTGGGGCTTTGTCTTATATAGAGTCCGATTACCCCCCACCCCCGTCCTGATTTTTCACACTTGCTGTCTGGTCACCCTAAGTGTACCTGATTTTTATTATCTACAGATGACAGGAAAGCAGAATTGCAGCATTAGAAATAGGGATGCATATTTATGGAAATATATTAATTCCCCATAAAGTTATTCTTGAGGAGGTCCGGGATGGACTTCCTAGAAGAAGTTTCCCAATAAATTCAGGATGTTTGAATGTATGTTTGAGTATATTCTTCAGGTTTGATTTACTCCTGTACTAGAGATATCGTAATTAGGCTGACTAAACTGTAGCTCCAAACCACTGTATTAATTTTCTGAAATCAATATGTTGCGTGAATTTTTTTAAAATATATTTCAAAAATTTAAAGCTAAAAAAAATCAGTTACATATAAAGCTATATATATTTAAATCATTAGGAATTATGTTGAATACGTTTTTTAAATCACATGCAGTTACTTTTAGAACGCAGTCCTGGACTTCAGCATCTATTTGTGGTAGGATAAAGTGGACTTTGAAGGTTTTTTATAATTATACTTTTCCATGGTGGAATCTATTTTAAGTGTTTTGAGAATTAGAACTGTGAACTATTTGAGCAACTAAACCAGCATGGGTACCTTTCTCATTTGAGCTTTCAATGGAGTGAGATTTTTTAATTAGTCCCTTTGATTTTCTGTATGTTGAATGTTTTCTGAAAGACAGCACTTTAGCAATGAAGAGCCAAAAAGAAAAAAAAAAACGTGATGCTATGGTGATTTGCATTATTATGATTGTTGTTATTCTATGTTTGTAGTTCGACAATCAGCAAGCACTGGGAGGCAGAACTGGCCACACTTAAGGGTAACAATGCCAAGCTCACAGCAGCTCTGCTGGAGTCCACTGCCAATGTAAAACAATGGAAACAACAGCTTGCTGCGTATCAGGAGGAAGCAGAACGTCTACATAAGCGGGTGAGTCCAGACAAACAGCTAAGGTCCTTGAAAACCATAAGACTGAGGAGCTATTGAATATATTTGATTATTTTGAAGTAAATCAAACATACAGTGTAGTGATCTCTCAAGGGATTATCTTTTCATATTGCAGTTGCCAAACTGCACCCAAGCAGGGTTTTGTGAGACTGTGTGTGTGTGTGTGTGTGTGTGTGTGTGAGAGAGAGAGAGAGAGAGAGAGAATGAGAGAGAGAGAGCAATACACCTTAACGTGTGCACTGACTTTCTTCTTAGGAATTTACTCAAAACCTCAGGGTGGAACGAAGTATTCTGTAACATGAAGAGTTGTAAATTGTCACAAGAAATGTGTATATTTTTATATCACTTAGACTGTGCTGTAGAGGTGTGTGGCACCTTATAGACATGGGCAGCGGATGACGATTCCCCTGGGGGAGGCCAGCTCCCCATTCACCTCTTCTGCCCGTGGTCCCACCCACACTCCACCTCTGCCCCCTTCCCACTTGCCACATCCCTCCTCTCCTTCCCCCCTCATTGCTCTCCCCGCCCACATCCCTCCTCCCACCGGAGCTCCACAATTCTCCCCCTGACCCCTGATTTCCCTGCATTGGCCCATCCTCCATGCCGTGCACCCACTGCCCCTGCCCCCTGCATCTCCCTTCGCCCACCTCTTGCCCCCTCACACATCCTTGTTTCCCCTTCAATCCCCTCTTGCTCACACCCCCGAACAGCTGATGTGCGGATTGTCCCTGCAAGAGGTACACCAAGCTGCCCTGCTTCAGAGCACACAGAGTGCAATATAAGCTCCATAAATGGAGAAGGTCCAGAATACCTCTTTCAAAAGTAGCAGCAACTTTTCATTTAGCTTCAGAGCAAGGGGGTTTGGTGGAGGAAATAAAGGCTTGTCAGCAAAATTCTGATACCTAGGAGTAGGAAGGAAAATCTCTTCAATTAGAAGAGTCTCCTCCTTCATCTAACCCAATAAAGCCACTCTCATAATAGATGGGGGGGAGGGGGGCGGTAAAACTGTGTTAGAAAGGAACATTATACTGCTCAAGATTCATCTCTCCCGGCTGCAGCCAGTGCTCCAGGCTCCCCAGCAGCAGCCCCAGGGCTCGGGGACCTTGCAAGGAGCATGGGACCCAGAGTCACTGCAGCAGGAAGTGCAATTCACTTCCTGCTGCTGCTGGGATGCAGGGAGTCCAGCCATTCTTCCTAGCCAGCTCCTCCTGGGTCATAACAAGGAGCCAATTCCATTGCACTGCAGTCCCACAGCCCCAGGCCCTGCCCCTTGGTGGCTCCACATTCCCTGGGCACGGGCAGCTTCTCCCCACATTAAGGGGGCATAGTACACAGAGGCCATTGTACTTTTATAGAAAGGTGTCCAGATTCTGGGGAGAGGGGAGGAGGGACCGGCAGTGGGGGGTCAAGGGGGAGGAGAGAAGCAGCCAGGCAGCAGCGGGCTGCTTGGAGCTGCCTCTGAGCTTTTGTATGTGCTATGCAGGTTCCTAGGCATCTGAGGAGGCAGTATCTGATACTCAGCTTCCTGGGTTCATCAGTAATCTCCCTGGATTCCGAAGAGTTTACTGATAAATCCAGGAAGCTGAGTAACACATACTGCCTGCTCAGCCACCCCGGAAACTGCATGGCACATAATAAAAACTTCCTCCAGCAGAAGCCCAGACATGGAAACCGCCAAAACCCGCAACCCGGGGTCCAGCAGCAGCACAAGGGAAGGCTCAACCTTCCCTGGCCTATTGTACCTGCCGCCCATGCGTACAGACAAGTAAGACATGGGCCCAAATCACCCCCACATATCCTTTTGCATGCAGGTATCCTTCCTGCTGTGTGGAAGAGGGCTCAGGTTGCCTCCTCAGTGCTCAGCATCCACAGTGAGGAGGTGGAGACTGGGCAGACTGGAGAAAAGAGTAGTTAAGTCAGAAGCAGGGTTTGGAGGATACATGTTGCTCTCACCTGCCTATATTATCTTTCCCACAAAACCTCCATCTGGGGGTCCTTGAGCAGCTGCAACCAGGGGAATGCCCGATAGCTTGATTGTAAAGGAAATGTAGTGCCAAGGAGCCTGTGCTAGGGGTTCTTTGTGAGTAGCTGCAGAGGCCCAGTCCCTCCTGTGGATACCTGCGGCCTGCCAAGCATGGAGGTGGTGCAGCCTTTTCATGGAGGTGGTGGTGAGGTAGATATTGGGATTGGGGGCAAATCTCAGGGAGGAGATCCTTGTGGATATTTCCTCCTCATAGTCTCCTTCTGAGGGTTTTGCTATGGGAATTGGGAAGGGATGATGATCTGGGCCCTGACGGCATCCTTAGACATGATGAGCTTGATTGTCCACTGACATGGGGTTTGTGACACAGAAGGTGCTGGAGCTAATGGTAGAGCTGATCTAGGAAGAAATTCTACAGTGGCATTCTCCAGGTGCTTTAGGTTCACTTTGTGTCAGTTCCACTACTTTCTGCAACAGATCTTACCTCCCACCTGCCCCAATGCTATGCCTGACTCTCCACTGCTGTTAGGTCCCTGAGGTATCTTACATCTGTGGTGTAAGTTAAAGCTCCCTCCCCTGCCCCACAACTTTTACATGCACCATGGAGAGGCAGCTGAGAATCAGAGAGTCACAGCCAACCTCCTGACAGCCTCTTCTCTCCGCTGCACCTGAGCAAACTTGGGTTCATTGGAGAATCAAGCCCATCATTCTCACTGAAGACCCAATCCTGCATACTCTTACACTACTATGCATAGACCTATATGCTCAGTAGTAAATATCCTCCTATGTAAGCAGTGCAGAAAGAATTTGACAGAATAGGGAATCTGGCCTGATATAGGGAGATATGACAGAGGAATGAAGTTTACACAAAATTGAAGTAATGAAATGATCTGTTTTTGTAATATATGCATTGTGCTATTTCTCCTTTTTTCTTGTAATTATTTATATTTTAATATCATTTATTCTTTATATTAAGTTGGCACAGGAGTTTCACTCTGACCAGCCTGGAATGTGTTTCTGCACTTATGAAATCATATTTCCACATTTGTGAATAAATTAGAAAGCAAAGGCAGCATCAGTACTTGCAGAAAGGAGCTGTGTCTTGTTTAGTGGTTTGTTTACTATTTTATTAATTTTTGTTACCTTAGAAAATATTGTGAAGGTGACCTCAGTTTAAAAAAAACCCATACATTTCTTCCATAAATGCCATCCTCTTGAGTATGCTGAAGGAAAAGCACAACTGGAAAAGATAGGTGTTTTAGAAAAGTGGTTCTCAACCAGGTGCCCAGCACCCCCTGCCGGGCTGCCAAGCAGGACCAGCATTAGATTTGCTGGGGCCCAGGGCAGAAAGCTGAAGCCCCACCACATGGGGCTGAAGCCTGATGCCCTGAGCTACGCCACCCAGGGCTGAAGCCTGAGCAACTTAGCTTCATTGAGCCCCATGGGGCATGTGGCCTGGGCAGTTGCCTTGCTTGCTATCCCCTAATGCCAGCCCTGGCTTTTATATGCAGAAAAACAGTTGTTGTGGAAGAGGTGGGCTGTGGAGTTTTTATAGTATGTTGCGGGGGGGGCTCAGAGAGAAAAAGATTGAGAACCCCTGTTTTAGAAGTCAGATCCTTCCAGTTTGGTGTTATAAACTGGCATGTGAATACCTATTGCCTTCTGTTCCACGGAATAATGTATGTTGAGTCTGCTTGTGTATATGTACAGGTTTCCTTTGCTACCTCTTTTAGTGAGCTACTCCCTTAGCTCTTCTAAACCTGTGTTTTCTGGGAATATGAACATTAGTTGTAATCATGATGCTCCAGTTATGCAGCTGGCTGGTAGTTATGGTATGATGTCTATAGGTATGTAGTCATAAATAATGACAGTGGAATCTCACCCAGTATGCTGTCTTCATTGGGAATTCCTAAGCATGGAGATAGACCTGACCCAATAAATCCAGCTCTCTAAGCAAATACACCTCTACCTCGATATAACGCGACCCGATATAACACGAATTCGGATATAACGCGGTAAAGCAGTGCTCCGGGGGGGGGGGGGG